CCAGAAGTCTCCTGTGCCCCTCTGCCATCAGCCTCCTCCTCCGTCCTCCCAGAAGTCTCCTGTGCCCCTCTGCCATCAGCCTCCTCCTCCATCCTTGCCCCCAGCCACCCACTTGCTTTTTCCACTGCAGACTAGCTGCCTTTTCTGCAACTTGATATAACAGATCACTCGGTAGGCATTCTTCTGTGTCTGGCTTCTTTCTCTTAGAACAGTATCTGTGAAATTCACCAGACTGTCCTGTGAAGTGGCAGTTCGCACCCTTTCATTACTGAGTAGTATTCCACATTCTGCTTATCTACTAACCTGATAGCCAGGGGGGTAGTTTCCAGTTTGAGGCTGTTAAAAAAAGCTGCTATGAACATTCATATACGAGTCTGTGTGAGGACATGTCTTCATTTACCTTGGGTGAATAACTAGGAGAGGTCATATAGTAAGAGTAGGTTTAACTTTCTAAAAAACTGCCAGTTTGCCAGAGTGATTTTTCAATTTTACAACACTGCCAATAGTATGTGTGAGTTCAGAACTATCCCATGTCCTCAACCACAGGTGAAATGGTCGATGTCTGAACTTTAACTACTGTGGTGGGTGTGCAATGAGATCTTCTTGCAGATTTAATTTGCATTTCTAGTAAGTAAAAATGCTGAGCCTCTTTTCACGAGTTTGTCACTTATATAAATGTCTGATTTTGTAAAAAGTCTGTTGAAATCATTTGTCCATTTTTTATTGAGCTGTCTTATGAATGATTACAAGAGGTCATTATATAGTCTACACACAAGTCCTCTGTCATGTATTTGTGAATATTTTCCCCCATCCTGTGGCTCTCTTGTGATTCATGAATTTTGTGCCCTAAGAAATCTTTACCTAGTCCAATATAAACGATTTTCTCCTATGTGTCCTTCTAGAACTAGTTTTGTAATTAAACAACAAATCGTTCTTGGGAAAAAACATAGTAATAGTTTACATTCTATTCCTTATCACTTTAATTATATTAAAATTTTAAAGGAAGCCATTACATTTTAACATAAAGGAAAGACACAGCACATAGTTAAATAGAAGTTTCATATTACTCAGTTTTCTATTGTTTTTTTTTTTTTGAGACAGAGTTTCAGTTTGTCACCATAGGTAAAGTGCTGTGGCATCACAGCAACCTCAAACTCTTGGGCTTAAGAGATTCTCTCACCTCAGCCTCCCGAGTAGCTGGGATTACAGGCGTCCGCCACAACGCCCAGCTATTTTTAGAGACGGGGTCTCGCTCTGGCTCAGGCTGGTCTTGAACCTGTGAGCTCAGGCAATCCACCCACCTTCGCCTCCCAGAGTGCTGGGATTCCAGGCGTGAGCCACCATTCCCAGCTTCTACCATTTCATTATACTTGATTTTTCATCCCAAAATATTTAACACAATCAAATAAATATTATAATCAGTTCTTATCCCTTTAGGTCAAATGATAACTTTTTATAAAGTATCAGAATAATAATTTGATAGCTAGAACTATATATAACAAAAGTATATAATAATACACAAAACATTCTGTATAGCAGGTATAAGCTTAAAAGAATAAACCATTTGCAATTAAGTAAAATCTCAGATGACCCCAGAGCATCACTGGGACAGCACACATAGCGCAGGTGACACCGCCTCCCTCCCTCCCAGGCCAGGCCTCCGTAAGGCCTGCCAATCACGCTGAAAGCTCAGCAAGTTCCTTAGATCATAAATTGTTAACCTGAGGCTACTCTTACATTCCACTGTACTTTCTGTTCTTTGGAAATATTCCATAATAAAAACACTTCTTAAAAAGTGAAATTATACCACATAACAATGGTTGTGTGTTCCAGAGCAGGTGGGGAGCAGGAAGAGATGGGAAATAGCAGCAGCCACCATACACGCACCTTCCCAGGATGAATGCTGAGCGGAGATGCGCTCAATGCTAGCCACTCAGGAGACAAATTACAAGTACCTGGTTCACTATCATACACATGTGAAACTATTTTTAATGGGGGTAGGGAGAGCTGCCACAAGGAATCTAAAAGAGCCAAGGCAACACTCACAACGCATCCTCCCTTACGCCACCTTTCTCTGTTCCTATTCTTCTGCTACTCCTCTCTGTTATCCATTTCCTATTCATAACTAAACCTGTTACTTGTACCCAAGGGGCTTTTCTTAAATCCCATAATCTGACTTTCTCTTAATCTGGAGAAATTAGGCGGCAATGGCTAGTAACGTGCAATGTCAATCACCACGACGGCCACAGAGAAGTTCAAACGGCCTCAGGCTTTTATGCCTCAGCGGCTGACTCAAACACTGCCCCCAAGCGTTTATGGACTCTGGCCAATAGGGTTCCTACCTTAGAAAGTGCCTCGTCGTGAACCACCGTATTGGTCGTTAAAAGAACAAGAACTGTTTGAAGTAACTTAAGTTCTTCAAGACTATTTTCCATTAGCTGCCAAAGCATGTTAATAATATTTCCAGCTGCAGTCTGTAAAATAATTATTTTAATTATTACCAACAATAAAATATAGGCATTTATGTCCCTAAATAAGATATGTAAACAAACTTTTCCTCACATAGAGAGGATTTTGTGGTCACAGTAACAAAAAAGGTACTTTTAGATCTATATATTCAAACACATCTCTAGGCTAACTTGGGACTTATTAATCAATTAAGTTTCTCCTCAAAAAATTAAATTTCTTTACAATATAACATCCTAGTTAAATAGAAGCAAATGGCAAAATGCAAATCTGAAATACCTAGTCAAAATCAAAGCTCATTTCCATGATAATATGAATCTATTTGGGTTGGACACAATAATACGGACACATCAGGTCTGACGAAGAAGTTCATGAACTTGGCAACATGCACTTGCAAACAACTTGGTAAGGCTTCAAACCCTTGGAAGGCCAGTGTCCAGCAGCTGTGTGTGATGGCATGTGGTGGCGTCTGGCTAAGTGCCACTCACTATTGTTGTTGCGAGTTTTTGTGCCATTGCAAGCATGCTGGAGCTTGAATTAGAATAACAAACAAACACTAAATTTCTCATTAAACTTGGCGAGAGTGTAGGGAAATCAGGGACACGTTAGTCTAACTTTATGAGATGATGCCATGAAGAAAACAGCTGGGTACAAATGGATTAACCATTTTTCTGAGGCCAGAGAAAGTGGCACTGATGAAGATAAGTCAGAGTGCCCAATAATGAGCACAAATAATGAAAACATTGCAAAATCCATCAAATTACGTGTCAAAATCATCAGCGGCTGTGAGGAGGGTAGCAGACCAAGTCATCACTGACAGAGGAACAGTTAGGAAAATCCTAACCGAACATCTTGGCCAACAACCCATGGCTCTTGCTTCATGCACCAGCTCACACAGCACTGTCCGTGAAGGAAGTAACAGTAAACAGTTTACTGTTTTAGCCAGTAAACAAATAACTATATTGGAACACCCTCCTTACTCCCCTCTTCTGACCCCAAATGACTTTTTTTTCTTACCCAAAGGCAGAGGAAATAGTGAAAGGAAAACATTTTGATGACATTCAGGACATCAAGAGTGACACAACCACCATGACCCTCTTCCAGAAAGAGAGCTCCAACACTGCTTGGAAGGCTGGACGAGACCCTGGCGTCAGTGTACAGCCTCCCAAGGGTGCACATGAAGGTGCTGGATTGATGCTCAGCAGTGAGGCTGGCAGCACCCTTCTCTAGGATGAGCCCCAGAACTTAACTGTCAGACCTTGGACACAAATCAGCTGTCAGCCTGCTGTTTCTCATACATATACATTACTTCATCTACACTTTACAGTATGTTACAGAAAAAAAAATACAACTTAAATTAACAACACATTTGTATATTTAATTTATCTAATATTCTTTAGGAAACTATACTAAGAGCAAATGAATGTACCGTGTCTATCCTTTCAGAGTACAAAATTAAGATACCACTGTCAAATTGGAGAGTAAGATACAAATCCATAGTTACGAAATAATTTTTGTTTTACCATCACCAGGTTAGGAAAAAAATACACAAGTTAATGAACAACAAATAATCACTTCAGATAATCCAGGAAATAATCAGGGTTCTCCCTTCTTACTTTGATAAAAAAAAAAAATGTATGAATTATTCAATGACATAGAAAATTTGCTTGATTCTCAAAACTGTCACCTATATTATTGAACTGTAACCTCTCAGGTTACAAATGACTTGACAGAATGCACTTCATCTTTATTCTTATTTATATGTGTTTATTGAGGAGACAATTTAGCAATATTTTTTAAATTAAGCAGTTTTCTCTTAAGAACGCTGCTATTCATAACATTGTTTTACATTAAATATCATGTATGTTACATTTGCCCCTTAAAACTCCTGATTCGACTCTCAGGACTAGTTCAGATAAGACCTCCGTATTACCTCGGACACGACTTCATGGGACATGAGTCTCTGAATGGCAGCCAAGCACAGCTGAGTGATCTTCGGTTCTTTGGTCCCACAACCCATGAGAAAAGGCTGTACGACCTCTGAGCTGTTCTCTTTCAATGCTTTATTTAGAAAACATACAAAAAAGATTATTAAATATAATTTATAGTTAGGAATACTTTCTTTTACATAATTACAATCAGTAGTGACAATCTTTGGTTTTTTAGTAGTGACACTCTCAGTAAAACCATTTATGCAAAATAAACATTAGAATAAAAACCAGAGGTCAGATAAACACTGCAGACTCTGTATCTACCGACAGCCTTAACTGCTAAGCTCCCCACACTCTGCTCCTAACACTCCATCCTTTGGTTCTCCTCCATCCTCTGTACAAACTCTTCAGGATATGGATTCTGAGTTCTGTCCCACCTCAGAGAAGCACTCTATTTCTTCATACAGAACAGGAGGGAAAACATAAATAAAAATTCATACTCCAGAGCAGAGCCTTAAAAATGGTATGCCCATCACTGCCATCACAATTTAGAACTCCCTAGAATGTTATTATGTGCCTTATTATATATAATTATTATATTATTATATCTCTACAGTCCTAATTTCTTCTCCAAGAAACAAGGCACATCTCATTAAAAACAATTACCATTATTTGACATTAACATAACATCTGTTATGACTGAAACAGAACTTTAACTGAGTGCACACACCACAATTCCAAACTTTAACTCCTACCTAGCTGACTCTCTAAAAAGTTCAAAGTGTCAACTAAAATGTAAAACATTAGAAAATGCACAAATTATACATAATTAAACTTACAAAATGAAATTAAATCAACACATATTTACTGAAAGATGAGTAAGATAGGTTTGTCACCCTTGGAGAATTTGAATAAATAAAATGGAATTCCAAATTAAGAGAACATGAACTTATGAGTGATATCTGTTTCCAAAGTTACTAACTCCACTATTTTTTTTGAGGCAAGACATGTAATAGACACACACATCTAAGTTTTAAAATGTTTTTTAAAAGAATTGAAAGTCAACTAGAATTGCTATTAAAAGTGATAACATTAATTTTATCATTCAAACCCTCACCTTTCTCTTCCCAAAGCTGTCTTTTGGGGATGTGAAATTAAGACCACAGTTTCGTACAGTGTGCTCTGCAAAGCCCCTCAGTGCGCCTGCATAAATCACTGATCTATTTGGCACAGCTACAACAGCAACCACGACTGGCAAAGCCGTGTTCCAAAAGGGCTCCGTCTCCTAATTCCCTTGCTTTTGTAAACACAAAAGTTTTGATTCAAACCTGGAGACATAAATTTTCCTTAATAACATCTCAAAACATTCATATGTTTTTAATCGACAGCCCTAAAGCTCAGTCTAAAGCACTGACCAAGTGACTAAACATCCTGCTGGGTTCCACTTGCTGCATGCCCGAGGGATGAGACCACCCCAGCTCTCACTACTGCTCACCACTGTTACTGAGACAAATGATAATACAGGCTCACAACAGTAACAAGTCACATCTATAACAAGTATGATGTCAACATGTGTTTCTAACTTGAGAATCTCAATCTTATACAGTATATAGGGCATGATTTGGCCCAAGAGACACAGTAAGTAGGTAGGATAAATAGTAGTAAGCCAGAATTTGTAAAAGCCATCCACATGCTGACTGTTCTTCCCACAACACTCCACTGCCACTCTTTACGGCCAACACAACGTGATGATAATGTAAATGAAGAGGACCCAGTGATCTTCACTAAAGTTATCTGCCTGAAATTTTCGGAAAAATAAAGAACAGCACTTGTCTTCATAAAACACCAACAACAAATGCAGTTTATCAGAGTCCAAGAGGCTAATGATTTTAAGACACACCAGTTAAAACTATGACACAATGCTGTCTAATGACGTCATCATCCTCTGGTCACCAGGAGCTCTGGGAGGCCTCCCTTCCTGGAGGAGGACTTCACCACTGCCTCCCAGATTCCTCGTTTCTTGGACATGTGTTTCACTACTATCTCCGAGACTTTCTGCTAAGCCAATGGCACCCTTTCTGCATGTTTTGAGGCTGGTGCTTGTTTGATCAAACCATAAGATGTTAACAAAGTTTGGACAACTAGAAAGACAATAAACAGCAATTAAACTCAACATATATGGTATCAACAATGCATGCAACTGAACTGACGTGACGGTAACACGGAGAACCGTGAACGAGTTCAGGCACACACTAGAAAGAAAACCACAACACCTGCCCACCGCAATCCTGTGATGCCACCACCTGCAAGATGCAGACCAATTTGGGGGGTGTTAGAAAGTGAAAAAAGCATATCAAGAAAACACAGTGAGTCATAGTGAATTGCTGTCCTCGCGAGTTACAGCAAGGCCTGTCATGCTGAGGGAGACATAGGGTAGTAATAAAAATTTTATAATTTTTAATATAACTCAAAGAAATCAAACGCCTATCTCTTACCTCTTCCCACCTTTTTATCCTTCTAACTGAGATGAAAATATAATGGTTAAAAAGAAAGTTTTTATGTTATTCAGAATACAAGATGATCAACAAACTCTATTTATTCTAAGTCTTTTGAAGTATAGTTTGAAAAACAAAGATCTATCCACCGTATCTAAATCACAACCCAGAAAAATTGTAAGAAAAACGTTACTGATTTCTTTTTCTTTCAAAAGTGAAAAAGGTCCTCAGAAGCAGAAACCAATCTGGCTCTTCCAGCTGAGACAACTCCTCTCCCTACAATAACTTTAATGATATGCTAATCAAGTGCAGCTTTATATAAATCCCGTCCTCTGGTTTCAGAGCTGAGAAATCTCATGGAGGAAAAGGCCGTACAGCCATATAACAATGTCTCAGTTTAACAATTTCTATGTCATTTCAGAAAAAATAAAAAGAAACAAAAAATATGATTCTTTTTCATCAAAGTGACTTCAATTTCCATAAAAACATAAAAATAGGTTTTGGAGAGGAAGAAAAAAAATTATTTTCCACCTATGTCTTTTAATAAGCATAAACAGAGTAACACTGCATGTAAATAAATACTGTATTTCCAGAACATAAACCATGAGATCAAAAGACACACTTTCACACACCTGCAAGAGATCCAGGCCCCCATATCCTAGGGGTCTCCTTGCTTTGAGCAGTTTCACTGCATTATTGTAGTTTTTATCCTGAAAAAAAAAAATTAAACTAGGATACCCCACTATGCATCATGTTAAACGTTTTATTGTGATAAATGTAAACATCCATTAAGTAATAAATTTCAATTCTTGTGAAAAAAATAAAATGTGACTTAGACATTTTTCTATCTTCAAAATACTAAAAATCTAGTCTAGAAAAGACTGATAGACCTAACAACATTAAAATAATTTTAGTGTTTGAAAGGTATGAAAATATATTTAAATAATTCAAAAATAAGGACAAATCATAGGCAATTCCATACTAAAAGCACATTATTGGAAAGAGAAAGACTATCTGAAAAAAGATATTGGTTCAACTGGGTAGTAATTTCCAAAAGGAAAAAAATTAAATCCTCACACCACCCTACACGTTATTAGGTAAGGGAAAAAAAACCCAACCATAGAATAAAAATAACTATCAACTCTGTAGAAGGGTGTTCTAAGTGTTAACCTACAAAAAAAAATCAGAAAAATTAGTATAAAAAGTACCTAGATAGTGAAATGAACATTGGGAAAATATAACATAAACATGATTAGAAGTCAGTATTTTTGCTATATAAATAGCTCAAGCAGTTTGATAAGGAAAACACAAAAACTCAAAAGTAAAATAAAAAAAGAAAGAAAATGACACAGAGAAAAATGCTCAACATCAAAAAAAAAAAAAAATTAAAATGAGAAGTCATTTGCCTGCTCAATTACCAGAAAGATTTTTTAAAATAGTAATTCTGGCAAAAATATTATAAAAATACATTTATATATTATTAGCAAAGGTCTAAACTTTTACCTTTTGGGAAAGCAATGTGGCAACTTTAAACATATTTGTACTCTTCAAATTTATAATCTCATTTCTAGAAATGCATCATAAAGAAATAAATCTAAATGCCAAAACATTCCTAACATAAAGGAATGGTTAAATAAGTCGCAATCCACTTGCTGAAACATCACAGACGTACAGCAATTAAAAACATTTTAAAAGATAGCATCAAAGAAAAATACTCATGATATAATAAAAGATATAAATTATAGAGTATAATAAAAGGATATAAATTCAAATTCACAAAGGAAAAAAATCCAAGGAAAAAAAATAAAAGCAGAGTATAGTGTAGACAAATTCTGTCTGTGTAATCTCTCTGCCCAGCAGGCCGACTTAGGAACAGGCATTGTTTACAGCCCCTGTTGTCTTCCAGCCTGGATTACAGAAATAGCCTTTCAACAGATCTCTGCCTCAGGGACAGTATAGTGAAAGATATACTACTTCCTGCTGTCAGAGTAAATTTACTTAAAAATATAGATGTGACCGTGTCACTCCCCTGATGCAAACCCTTCCCATGGGGCTGCTCAGCACAGCACGTGACGACCCTCTGATCTCCTGACACCCGTCCCCTGCATGCTTTATGCCCAGGCAGTACTTGCACCACACCCAGATACTGTCGAGCTGTACACACAAACCTTAAGTCGTCCCCTACCCTTTATCTGCTAGCTGACACCCCTCCAGGCTTCAGATTCCCAGGCTGGGATAGGAGCCTCCCCTATGTTCCCATAACAACCCTGTCTGTGCTTTCATCTCGGCATTTACCATACAGTATTAGAACTGTTTAGAGTCTGTCTCCTTCATTATGCTGTTACATGAGTGACATGAACTAAAGGTGACAAAACTCACGCACTCCAACAATCATAACATGTAAAACCAAAGGCAGAAATCAATGGAGGCTAAGAGATCCAGCTGCACCCTGATGTGGGTTGTCCGTCAGCCTGCAGCTCATGAGTGCACACTTTTTCCCGCCCCCTGTGCTAAACACCAGCGACACAGGAGGAAGAGGATGCTGACCCTGACCCTGACCTCAAAGAGTACATCATCTGGAAAGGAAAGTTCTGGGAGAAGACTTGGGAAAGCAGACAGGAAGGAGCAGAGCAGCTAAACAGAATGAAGTGCACAGCAGTGTGTCTGCACTGAGAGCCTGAAGGTGAACTGCACTACCCACCTTTGTATCTCCCTACTGACTCTCACAGAGTAGTTATTAATCAAGAAATACTGCAGGATCTAGTCTATAGATATTTGTACAGTATCACAGGTACATGTATTGACAAGACAAAATATATTAAATAAGCAGATAAATTACCTTTTTAATGTCAGGACAAAATTCCAAAGTATATTTACTTATTGCCCCTTAAGTTAGAGAGCTTTTATTTATTTATTTATTATTTTTTTGAGACAGAGTCTCACTTTGTCACCCTTAGTAGAGTGCCATGGCGTCATAGCTCACAGCAACCTCAGACTCTTGGCCTCAAGTGATTCTCTTGCCTCAGCCTCCTAAGTAGCTGGGACTATAGGCACCTGCCGCAACGCCGGGCTATTTTCAGAGACAAGGTCTCACTCTGGCTCAGGCTGGTCTCAAACCAGTGAGCTGAGGCAATTCACCTGCCTTGGCCTCCCAGAGTGCTGGGATTACAGGTGTGAGCCACCATGCCCGACCTAGTTAGAGAACTTTCAGTTATCAGACTGTGTAGATATGAGAAAGATAAGGAAAAAACACGTAAGAAAATATGAACACAAATCATATGTGGTGATTATTTAAAATTCTGTATGTATACTGATAGGAGCTGAAAGCAGCCTCAGGTGAGCCACCCATTATGGTTTTGGGTAGGAATTAAATAGACAGTTTTAAAAGATATCATAACTTCATTGCCTTGTTACAAATACATTGTTCAAAAATCAAATTACATAATTTTTATATAATACATGCCTTCTCAATTTCTAATATATTATACAGTAGGATAATAAACACAATTTGTAACATATAACAGTCAAATGCAAGATCAAGGCATGTGGCCTTGTACATGAGAAACTCCATGTTGCTAGCTCTCACTTGCAAAGTTTTATCTTTAAAGAAAAAGGAGATTTTGAGATAATGATCTGTACATCTGAACCAATGCTGACATTACCTGGAATAGTATTCCCACTTATGTCAGCACTCATGACAGCAGTGAAAACAAAGAAAAATAAACATTAAAGGAGAATGCTTACAAGAAGGGGAGGTGCGAGTCAAAGATTTATTCTGCAATGCAAATGATCTTTCCTTAGGAAATAAATCTAAGAAAACTAGAGTTGGCTAGAAATGTGTGCTAATTACCATTAACTAGACTGGCCGATCCTAAATAGGGCTTTTTTACAGCAATGCTTTTTATTTTCTGCATATACAAAAACACATGAGAATTCACTGTCCCATCTCATCTGAGACCCCCTCAGTTGGTTGGTGTCTTTGACATTCCTCACAGCACAGAAATAGTGTCCTAGAGACTCCTCCAGTCTCCAGTAAATACATGTCAGGAAACAAAAAAAAAGTAACCAAAATTTTTTCTCAATATTAAATAAAAGTACTCTACCAATGTGGTTTCAAAACTATATACTGACTATCTTCATTTTAAGAGGCTTTGAGTCTCAAGAGGACAGTGTCTATAAATCTCCATTTGGGGGGCATTAATTGCTATAAACACTTGGTAAAAAGTATTAGGATGAAGTTAAAGAGCTGATATACCTCCTCAAGTACACGGCTCTGGAGACTCTGAGGATCACAGCTGTATGTATAAAGATCTGTTCTAACGTTATCTGAATAAAGCTAACTGAATTGAAATTAATAGCCTATCTATATACATTAAACTCATACAGTGTCAACATTTCTATTGTTCATCCATAAGATTAATTAGCCATTTTACTTGGTATAAAATACTGGAATAGATGGTGATCCTCTGAAGAAATCAATCTTTTTATTATTTTTTTAATCTTCTACCAACTATAGTACCAGTGAAAATTTCTATTAGGGGAGAATTAAGGACTTACCACGTTCCCAGCAATAACATTAGCAGAGGCAAACATCAGAGCGATACTCTAATATGGTTGGCCTATGACGAGTCTCCAACATAGAAATGTCCAGGTCATAATTTGCCTTTAAACACCAAGTTCTCCACAATGGCTGATCCACCCACATGGATCTCCCATTAAAACCTACCTGCGCCCTCCCAGTCCAACCATAGACACCTTGGCTTTCCCCACCACGCTCACTACACCCCTTCTCATATAACATGTACACACACGTGATGCACATCTGTCAATAATATTATGAAACTATTTGGTATTTTGATAGACTGTTCAAAATCAGGGACGCAGCTCTGAGAAACATGCAACTCAGGTGGGTGAACTAAGGCAAAGTCAGAAATCCACTCTTGCCCTACAACTTCTCCCCAAAACCTTCATTTCATTTTGTAACGAAATTTTGAAATTTATTGATACCCTTTTCAAAAAATGTAAGGTTTATGAGAGTTAGAGAGTTAGTATTTGTGCTCTGCAAATTAACTTAACAGGACCACTTTCACACACACCGGCTGAGATCAGTACCACGACTGGAACTGGAAGTGCAGGCTGAAGATCAACGAAGCAAGCAACAGCTACAGTGAAACACCGGGAGGGAGCAACTGGTCTGGAAACCCTGCCACACCACCGCAGCAGCGCAGCGCTCCTGAACCTGAATTTGGTTCCAACACCTATCGTATGACCTTGAGCAGGTAAACTCTGCACTTCCATCTGCTCTATTATAAAATTAGATAATAGCCGTATTTCCATACAAGGTTGTTTTATGTAAAATACTGGCATAAGTGCCTCATATACAACGCTCCCCCCCCCCAAAAAAAAGAAAAGAAAAAAGCCAGTTTCCCTCATTTCCATTTTTATTCTAGAGGCAAGAATAGAAGCCACCAAAGAGAGAGAGGAGGAGACTGAGGAGAGAAAGGGCACCAAGGAGAAAACTCTGGAAAACTAAGTTTAATCAAGAGAAGGTTAGAAGCACATCTGTTTGCTTCTCCCCACTCCACCCCCATTCTCTCCTCACGACCATACGGCCTTGTTCCCAGGACTCAAAACTGACAGCACAACAAATTATACAAAACTACATGATGAACTGTTTATATTCCACTAAAGACAAGACAGGTCTGGGAAGGTGAACTGAGAACCGAGCTTTCATTCAACTCAATCAACAAGGAGTAACTGAATGCCTTTCAGGGGGAAGGTGTGTCTCAGGGATTCAGCAAGAGATGGGGGAGAATGCAAAGATAAGCAAGAAAAAAATGACTGCCTTTCAGGAGTCAGGAGTCTAAACTTTCTGAATTCAGGGATTTTACCGCATTCATCCTGGGGAAACAGAGTCTGTACACAAGTCCGGGCTTTTAACTGTTCTGTACCAGGAATACCACAGGTTAGGGCATGAGGAAGAGATGGTACAGAAGACTGATGGCTTCTTTTTTATAAGATCTTTTTACTATTAGTCAAATTTTTGTTAATTGTTAAATTTTTAATGTAAAAAATTACCTGCCAAAATTTCGGTGTTTCGTGCAGCTATTGTTTTAACTTTTATTATTCCTGATTCAGCAGCCTGCAAGAATAAAAATAATTAGAGCATAAAACTTATTATCAACATGAATTATCCAGGGAAAAGAAGTTACATTTAATAGATAAGTACACAGAGAGTCAGTCACTATCACCTTTTTTAGTCTTCAGAACATCAGATACCGAGCCCAATAGTGACAAAGACACTGAATGTGATAAAGTACGATTAATCTGATCATCTACATGCAGACTCAGCACCACAGCACCCTGCCTCCTCTGCCTTAAGGCAGACCTGGAATATCTCCATTCCCTACAATTTAAATGTTCACAAAATAAAAATAATAAAACAAAAACCTAATGAAAATGATTAGGCTCCTCTTAGGCTAATTACTTCACACCTACCTCCACCCATTAGAAAACAAATTGCAAACCACTGCAAAATTGAATAAAGCTATTATTTGTGATAATAATTGTTTTTTGAGACTGAAAAACCAACCACTTTGTTATTGCTTTTCAGTTATAGCTTTAAGCAGTTCAGCTTTCATGACGTGTCTAAAACACTTCATCATGGTATGGTTAGCTAGCCTGCAAGTCATACTCCATTTTGCAGAATGCTACAAAACAGCACTCCCAACGCAATAGCCCCTGGCTACATGTGACTTGACATACAGGTCTGACAATTAGGTTTGCAAACTTGCTACCATGTGCTTATGATGACAGCACTGTACAAACAACTCAGTAAGGTCCCATACCCTTGGTACACCAGTGTCTCACAGTTGTGTCCATGCTGGTATGCGGTGGTGTCCTGCTGAGTGGCCTTCATTATTGTTGTGTGTTTTTGTGTGCTGTCATGAGAACATTGAAGCTTGAATTTGAGCAACAAACAAACATTAAATTTCTTCTTAAACTTGGCAAGAGTGGAAGTGAAATCAGGGACATGTTAGTCCAAGTTTATGGAGATGATGCCATGAAGAAAACAGCAGTGTGCAAATGGATTGAACATTTTTCTGAGCCAGAGAAAGTGTCACTGATGAAGAAAGGCCAGAGTGGCCAGTGATGAGGAGAACTGACAGAAACATGGCAAACATTCATCAAACTGTGAGTTGAAAGTCTTTGGCCAACTATGAGTACGAGCAGAACTGATGGAAACTTCGCAAACATTCATCAAATTGTGAGTGGAAAAGCCTTGGCCAACTGTGAGAAATACAGAAGCTCCACTAAACATCAATAGAGAAACAGGGAAATCTTAACTGAAAATCTTGGCACCAGAAAGGTGTGGCTCTTGCATCATGACAATGCACCAGCTCACTCAGCACTGTCCATGAGGAAATTTTTAGCCAATAAACAAATAACTGTATTGGAACACCCTCCCTACTCACCTGATCTGGCCCCCAGTGACTTTTTTCATTGCCTGAAGATAAAGGAAATATTGAAAGGAAAACATTTTGATGACATTGGAGACATCAAGGGTAATCTAATGACAGCTCTGAGGGCTGTTCCAGAAAGAGTTCCAAAATTGCCTTAAAGGGTGAACAAGGGGGCTGGCTCCAGTACACAGCTCCCCAAGGGGGATACTTTGAAAGAGATTATAGTGATGTTCAGCAGTGAGGTATACAGCACTCTTTCTACGATCAATTCACAGACTTAATTGTCAGACCTTGTATAGCTAGTCTGAAGTAAGCTGTGCTCTAAGTGTAAAATAAGAAAGTTCTGAAGATTTAGTATAAAAAAAGAATGTAAACTATCCACTAAATATTTACAGTGATTACATGTTGAAATAGTATTTTTAAAATATTGGTTTAAATACAAAATATGTATATATATGCACATACATGTATGTATGTATATGTCTGAGTTTCCCTATTAATTTGCTCATTCCTGCTCAGTTACTGTTACCTCTTCCTGCTTGCTAAGGAACAAGTGGCAGCAGGCCCAAGAGGGTTAAAAATAATTATAAAAGAGCACCAGTGTGCTGTGGGCTCTCTGATGACCAGCGGACCAGTGCACAAACAAAGGGCGTCTGTGCTGCACCACCTGGGGCAGACAGACCGCCGCCGTTTTTGCTGCCTCCACGCATACGGAACCCTTGCTTATATCTGAAGAATTCCCAACTTCATTAATTTCGGTACAAGAGCCTACCTTCCACTACTGAAACTGAAAATGCCAGACACGTGGCTTCCTGCATGCCCTGGCAGTCGCCGCTTACCCACAGAGAGACACCCACAGGGACTGTGAACGTGGAGCCTGGTGACAAAGAAGCAGCCAGAGAATCCTGGCCACAGCAACAGTGGGGACAGAACCGGGGCCCGGAGTGACCAGTGGGCAGCAGTGCAGACAGCACTGGTCTCATGGGCATGAGCACCACCCTGCTTCTAGTTGGTCAGCCCCCCTGTTCACACCTTTTTAGGGCTGGCTCCCTCCGGCCTACTACCAACTCCATGAACCACTCAATAGCCCACCAGCAAATTTTATATCTGCTTAAATCAGAGTCAGCTTTCATCACTCACAACTAAAAAGGTAAGGTTTACACTTAGTTATAAAACTTTAAGAAATGTTAGTGTCCCAAATTAAATTAACATGGCTACTAGCAGAAAAACACAATCAAAATCAATTACTTTAGGGAAAGATGTGATTTTTTTTTTACTTGAGGCAATCAATGTATATTAGAAACACCAGAAGTTTTAAAAAATCCCAATGTCCAGATTGCAACCCAATTAAATCAGAATGACTGCTGGTGAGAGTCAGGCATCAGTATTCTAAACTCTCCAGGTGATTCCAATACACAGTCAAATCAGGAGACCACAGCAATAAAGCAAGCAGGAGATGAACTGAGCTGAGGTGGAGGAAGTGGTCAGATTCTGAATATACAGTACTTTGAAGAGGTACAAACCACAGCAAATTCACTACATAAAAATCAAATAGAAGAAATGAATCTGTGGCCAGTGAAATGTCTTCCGCCGTCATTTTCAAGTTTAACTTCCCCCTTCTCATGATGCACCTATATACTTTGTGTCTGTCCAACTTCAATATGTGGTTTTGCTTCTGTGTCAACAGAGACTGATTAAACTGAACTGTCATAAATAGTATAATTTGTCCCAACTTCCTGAATTCCATTCATACCTTTTTAGAAAATTTTTTTGACCCTCATCTTAGAGTCCGAAAAAAACTGTAATAGTTTCAAAATCTGTCCTGTAGCATGCTAGTATCGATCAGTAAAGGATCTCAAATCTGCCAGACACTCTTCTGACTTCCTAAGATGAGTAAGAACTGAATCACGGGTACGTCTGTAGCTCAGCAGCTAGGGTGTCGGCCACATACACTGGAGCTGACGGGTTCGAACCCAGCCTGGCCCTGCTAAAACAACAATGACAACACTAACCAAAAATAGCTGAATGTTGTGGTGCACACCTGTAGTCCCAGCTACTTAAGAGGCTGAGGCAAGAGAATCGCTTATGCCCAAGAGTTGGAGGTTGCTGTGAGCTGTGACACCAGAGCACTCTACCAAAGGTAACACAGTGAGACTCTGCCTCAAAATAAATAAATAAAAATAAACGACAACAACAACTACAACAAAAAAAAAATAGCCAGGCATTGTGGCGAGTGCCTGTAGTCCCAGCTACTTGGGAGGCTGAGGCAAGAGAATGGCTTAAGCCAAAGAGTTTGAGGTTGCTGAGAGCTATGATGCCACAGCACTCTACCCAGGGTGACTAAGTGAAACTGTCTCAAAAAAAAAAAAAAACTGCAGTTAAACACACTGCAGTATTTAACACTTCTTACTCTTAAAAATTAATCTTTCTCAAGAAATATCTTCTTCTTTTTCTCAATACCCTTTGCTGACTCCTCTTTCAAGACCACCTAGAACACTGTCGGCCTCATTTCTTACCCAGTAAACCCTTCCTGGGTGACCCCACTCCCACCCCCATGTCAGCAGGTTCCACTCTACAGATTCAACCAATGCAGATCAATAATACTCTTGGGTGGCGCCTGTGGCTCAAAGGAGTAGCGGGTCAGCCCCATATACTGGAGGTGGTGGGTTCAAACCCAGCCCCAGCTAAAAACTGCAAAAAAAAAAAAAAAAAAAAAAATACTCAGGGTGGAAGGGAACAATAAAAAATAACACAGCAATTTAAAAAAAACAAGAAGAAATATAGTATAACAACAATTTTCACAGCATTTACATTGTATTAGGTATTAGAAATAATCTAGAGATGGTTGAAAGCATGTGGGAAGGTGTCTGTAGGTTCTATGCAAACACTATGTTTTGTATCAGGGACTGGAGCATGCACGGACTGTGGTGCCCACAGGGACCCCAGGCCCACTCCCCTGCAGATATGAAGGATAACCATAACTCCACGGTTTGGAATACTTTCTCATGCTAAGACTCCAAAATCATATTCCTATCCTTGACCTGTCTCCTAAACCACAGAACTTACTCATTAAATTAAATGTTTAAAAGGTACCTTAAGTTGTTCAAAACAATTAAGGTTAACAATTAATTAAGGTATAATACTCTGAACAGGACGTTCAAAACAGATGTTATCATTTCCCTCAGCCCCACCTCCCCCGCAGCTGAGAGGCCTGTTTCCACTCCCCACAGTCCCTGGGTTTCTGCACAGCAGCGTCACTGATCCGGTCACTGCTCAGATATCTGGCCTCCATCTCCCATTTCACAAATCCAACCAGCCACAAAGTCGATTCAGTTAACATATCTGGGACTGGGCGTGATAGCTCATGCCTGTAATCCTAGCACTCTGGGAGGCCAAGGGTTCCTCCTCATGCCTGTAATCCTAGCACTCTCTGAGCTTACAGGTTCGAGACTAGCTTGAGCCAGAAAGAGACCCCATCTCTAAAAATAGCTGGGCATTGTGGCAGGGCATCTATAGTTCCAGCTACTCGGGGGGCCAAGGCAAAAAGATCGCTTGAGCCCAAGAGTTTGAGGTTGCTGTGAGCTATGACGCCACAGCACTCTACTGAGGGTGGCAAAGTGAGACTCCGTCTCAAAAAAAGCCAAAAAAAAAAAAATATATATATATATGTATCTTGTAC